TTTTGGTGGGGCAGCAGTAGGGGTTGCACCCTTCCACCCATAAGCGTGCAGGCTCTTGTTCATCACTGCAGAATGCATAAAGGCAATGGTAGTGACTATACTGAAAAACAGTCATTTGCAGCTGAGGATTTGCTCTATCAAACAGTGTTATTGTGCTTTTTGTATTTGTTGCCGTTTCCAGGAAAATAAATAGGAGGCGTTACTTTCAGAATGACCTACATACAATGAACAAAGGATTACAGTCCAACTGCCAAGAACACCTCCTTCCCAAAGTCAGTACACAGCAAATACAATACATCTATAATTATTTATCATTTGAAAAAACTCAATACTTACTATATAATACAGTCAACATCCATTATAATTAATGGTTTTAGAATATTTATTAGTTTATTGTATAATAGTTCTTACCTAATAAACAAATGGCTACTCTCATACAAACGTGTAATGGTAACTGAACCAAAAATAGTAGTCAATCTACATACAGCAACAGTCCAAAAAAGCAATAATTTCATGAAGTAATTTATCCTGTAGCTGTAGTGATATTAAGTACCTCTTCAGTGAAAGCTAGCATAGACTGTGGTCTAAGGTCATGAAGTTTTCTACTGAATGCTGGGGAGGCTATTAACACTTGATTTAAGATGTGCACGTTTGTATTTTGACTTCCCCATAAATACACACACCTAATATCTCAAATATGAATGCATATTTTTTCCTCAGCAAAGCACCTCCCTAAACAAAGCTGATGGAAGAGATATTTAAACCTTATATTTGGACAAGCTCCTTTATGTCATCTCCTCCTATTTTCTTCCAAAACTGGATGTTTTCACGTAAAATTTGACCTGAAAACTCCTCCATAATGAATAAAATTCTGCTATTCTGAAATAGTATGCATCACAACTGTATCATTCTTAAATATTTAATAACAATACATACACTAAAAAGAGACTGGAAGCCTGAAATCATTAGATGTCCTCGCACAATAAAAAGGAGGCATGTATTTCCCTGCAAATGTAATTTCAAAATCCTTTCACATAAGAATCTAAAGACTTGTCAGCTTGGTTACTCTGCTGCTGTATATTAAATAAGCGTGTAATGAAGGTACCGGTTTTGATTCATTGAGATGCCAAAGATCATGGGTAAAGCATATGAAATTAATGAATGTTTTTGAAGGTGGAATATCAAGAAGGCAGTACAAATCAGGTACAGCATCAAAAAGAACAAAATAATGACAAAAAGAAACCACAGAAAATCCAGCACCATTTCATTTTAGTGACCATTAAGAACAACAATAAAGCACAAATGTCATTTAAAACTGATTGCCCCATCCAAAAAAACTATCAAATACTTCACACACCATCAGTCCAGGGCATCACAACACTGTTCTTATTAACAGAACACCGATTTCCAGTCTTAATATAAACTGAATGAAAATTTGAGCCTTGTATGTTACCTAGAGCTTTCTAACATGCATTCATTGTCTGTTTTTCAGATAAGACTTGCACATTAATCCAGCACACCAGTTAAGATGGTACCTAATTTTCAGTACTTGCATAATGCCATTAAAGTGAACAGGACAAATAAGTCAGTATGCAATGATTTTCTAATACCTTCCAAGGCCAATATCAGATCCTTAGAAACTTAAAGCCTTCACAAATCTGTGCAAATGCTAAGGATAAAAAAAAAAAAATGAAAAAAAATCTTCAGAAGAATTAATTTAAATGCTTTTGACTATTGCTACCCTAAGTCACAGTCTTATTTTGATCCAATAACAGGCAGCACTACTGTGCAAATACAGAAAATCTATACTTTGGAGTACTGATAGATGAAAGGAGCTCCTCAACTAGATGCATTACACTGCAAGTTTGGTGAGCTGTAACAGGAGCATTAGGTATCACTGGGAGAAAAACATATTCTGATTAACATCAAAAACTTCTAATTGCAAGACGTAAATAAACATTTTCTCTATTTTGGACCACAAGATTACAAACAGCTCCTTTACCTACTCAAAAACAGTCTTTACTGCCATCCTGAACCACCTGCAGGAACCTACCTACCCTTTCTGAAGATAACCTCAGCCCTCCTGGTCCAATACTGACGTATTGGTCCAACACAATTCACTGAAGTATTACATTTTACTGAATATGCCCTTAGGATCCATTTATGGTACAGGATTTCCCTTATAAGTGCTTGAATTACGAAGAGGAGACTTCTTTTAAGCAGCAAGTGTCCGATCTGTTCCTCGTAGGCACACAGTCAAAATACACAGCTGTAAATCTACTCCTGATTCGCCCCACCCCAACCTCCTTAATTAAGGACTGCTGCAGAAGCTCTTTCAGCTGCTGTGTCATTAATATACTGGCCTCTGAGACAGCAAGAAAACTGCTTATACTCACCAGTAAAACCACATCAACTGGAGAGCCATAAACAGGACCAGTTCCAACTTGCAGAGACAACCAACAAAAGCATGGGAATCAAGTTCAACTAAAGCAAGTTGCAATTTTACTAGTAAAACTTAAAACTGATGAAGGTTGTGAAGCAGTTCCTTATATCCTCATTTTATACTTACTTTGGATGACCAAATATAATTCATTAAAAGCTTCTCTAAGGTGTGCATCTTCTCCTACTGCTAATGGGAATAGCAAAGCAACAAAAACATGCAACCTTCTAAGAGTAGTTGAAATGTAAGTGCAACGAATCCATGCTAAGATAAACAAGATGTTTAAGCTATAATTAAAACAAAAAAGATGATGATAATACAGATGATACTGGGAATACAAATTAAAATCAGGTAAAAGAATGAACCATAATGCACAAAATAAAAACATTGCTTATAGACTGGCACCAAATTCATTGGGAATAAGAAGCTCCTATTTAAGAATAATTGTAATATTACAACTTGAGCTGTAGAAGTCAACACAAGTTTTGTCACCAACTTAGTAATCAATACTTGGGCCACTTAGCAGTAAACATTCCTGATTTGTTTGAAGCTGTTAATACGCACACATTCTATACACAGATCAGCTGACAAGGCTCAAAAGTGGCAATATTTTCAACTTTCTGAGAAAGGCAGTTACATCTACGTGTGTAATTTTATGTATTTGTAATGGAAATAAATAAATCTGTTGTCACAGCAGAGAAGAAAGAATGACATTCACAAAATTCAGTAATTCTATTTACTGCAAGTGCACAAAAGGATTCGTGTGACAGATGACAAAATGAATATGACAGGATTATACACTGTAACTGTGAAACTGCAAATCCTATAAAGTACACACACAGTTATAATATGCAAGACAAGGGGATAATCCTATTCCCAACCTGAAATTATATGAGTTGACCCAAGCCATTATTTCCACTATCATTCCTGTATCTGCCAATTTTCCCAAAACGTAAAAGCATTAACTTGGTCACTAATAAAGTCAACAGAAGCTGCAAGCATAAAACTCCAAGGTTATCAACCTAAATTTTTGACTACTACAACAGCTTTACTTTAACACTCTTCTCACTGCAACTCAGCTAGAGATACACACCTAATGGTGCTAACAGAATGACAAAAAGTTGAATGCCTGAAAAATGGACTAAAAAAAGCTTTTGTGTAAGACTAAACTAAAAAAGCTTTTGTGTAAGAAATAAAAACAGAACAGGTAGGCTCTACAGTTTTCGGGCCTTGCTGTCTCTTCTGGGATTCCCCAAGATTATAATAACAATATAGCATTAATACAAACCGCATGTTTTGAAGAGCTTTAGTAAGAACTTACTAAAGAAGTGCCATACAGCAGATATTAAATGAAATTAACAGTGGTTCTGCCCAAACATTACCAACCCATCTTCAAAAGCAGGGGGAAAAAAACACACACAAACCAAAGGAACACAGCTGAAGGTCTCCTAGTAAGTGCCAGAATTGACAACTGAACCAAATTCAGCTTTATGAGCACACCACACCTAGCACTCAAAGGCAGCAAAGCAATGTGCGTGCATTTTCCAGCACACAGAATGCAACTTCTAAAAGCAGAAATGGTTCCCCACCGTCAATCAAAGATTTAAGAACACTCAGAAAAATTAAAAATGCATTTGAGGGGAAATACAAACTCAGGTTATGAAATCAAGGCAGCTCCTATGTGCTGGAGATAACAGACATCCTGCCCTGAGGAAAAAGGTTAAGTGTTTCATGCACTTTTTCTACTAGGCATTTCTGTGACTCAATTTCAAATTAAGCATCCGAGATCTCAGGACATATTCCAGAATGTTTTATTTGAATCACTGACATTCAGCATTCGGAAATGAGTTACTGGGAAACCTGCCTTCAGATAACACACTGTGTGCAGCTCTTCGAATTGTACTTCACATTCTCCTCTTTTTAACATCATCATCATTTAAGGTTATCTACAAACATTCCCAAAAGGGTCATTTAAAGCAATTCTTTTTCTCCTTTCTTCAGAGCAAGCGCAGCTTGCAGCTGACCACCCTGACCTGAACACCTCTCACAGTATTTCTTTTTTTTTTTTTTTTCCCCTAAAAAAGGCAACTAAACTACGTTGCCCTCCCATCTCCCGTTAAGATTCCAGTCGTTTCTTCAGGGATTCATCACGAACTTGCAGAGCGAGCCGTGCCTCAGCCACGTGCCATCCTCCGGAGCACGAGGGGCTGCACGCACCTCACCCACCCCAGCCGCCCCACGCGAGGGGCCGTGCCCAGGCACCTGAGATTTCCCAGCCAGGAAACCAGTGCGAAACACATCCAAAAAATTTAAGAGCTCCCAGCTCGGAGGAAAAAGGGGAAGAACAAGGGAGCGGAAAGGCAGCCTGCAGCCCAGCGCGGGGCGGGTAACGCCGCAGGTGCAGCGCTCAGCCCTGAGAGGAACAGCGCACAGAACAGCACGGCGCTTCCCACCCAACTCTCATCAGCAGCCGCCCCCTTCCTTCTCTTCCTCCTCCTCCTCCTCCCGCTGGAAAACCCAGCGGCACCCGGAAGGAAATTAACACAAAATGGAGACTTACACTCCGTCTCCTAGCACGCATGCGTCACTCCGGCGGAAAGAGGTGTGCCGACGGCGGCTCACAGCAGCTGAGGGGCGGGTCGGTGCTCGGCGGCCGCCGCGTGTGGTGTTTGGGCGGTGCGCGGTCCGTCAGCGTGAGCAGCTGGTAGCCTCGTGCCCACCGCCTCGTGCCCGCCTGGGACTCAGCTGCTCGCGGAGCTGATTGTGTGTAAAGATTCCCTCAAGGTGCGTGGGTGCCGCTCTTGACTTCTCGGAGCCCCGCCGTTGCGGGTATAGAAACGAGCGTCACAGCGCGCGCCTGCTGGTGTTGCCGATTCCCTGCTTTTGGTGCACGCTGGAGATAGCTTAGGTTGTGTTGAAATGCTGTCGGTTCTCCTTTCTGCTGGCGGTCTTTGCAGTGATAGTGAGGCTCCGTGCAGGCAGCGCTGATTTCCCAGCTGAATTTCAGTACTCTTCAGTTGTGCATCGGAGCCACAAAAGACAGCCAGCAGCAGCAGCCCACTGCGGGGCAGAGCCTCCAGCTCTGCGATCAGCTCTGCTGTAAAGGAGTTGTCCCACCAACCTTTTCCTAAAGGGAAGAAACCTGGTCAATAGCTGTCTTTGTTTCTCTTGATCTGAGTGTTTGTAGTGAAGATAAGGCCTTAAAGCATAAAGCAAAGCTTCTTTGGTCTGTAGAATTGGTCTTCAGCCCAGGGTCTGAGAAAGTTCTCTTTCTTAGACAGATAATTTAATGTATATGAATTGTAGATGAATGAAGCTGCTGAACATTACTGTCAAATGGCAGCGCTTTGGACAATCAGATACGCTGGCCTCAAGCCCAAAACCTTGAACTTTATTTTATATTCCAAAGGAAATGAGTAGAACCAATGGAAGATAAATATTTGCTGGAGACAGTACAGTATTAATGGCCAGTATTCCAAGTATCATAGCTTAGTGTTTTACTTACACTGAAGACAATGTTGTCACCTACCCATACGTGTGATGCCAAGTGTCCTTATTATTAATACCAGGAGACCCAAGATTCCCCTTTGATGCTACTGTCATGAATGGTGCCTCAATATCTGTACTTCCATACAGCAAGGAATCCCCTGCCTAATCCCCAAAGTCACTGCATGCAGAAATGACAGTATTAATTCCCCCTGCTGTTAGACATTTTGCTAGCCCTTCATGATGGTGCACAGTGACAGCTCCCTTGTGTCAACTGCCAGCAAAGCTACCCCAGATATGTCCCTTTTTCAGTGCGTACACCTGTCTTGTAGGATTACACAACTGATAATCCACTGCTTGCAGCTTTTCTTGGCGTATATCTACTTGGTTCTGAGAAACATACTAAGTATTTATTTTGTTTACAAAAGCTGTGTTTACCATTCCCATATCTGGTACAAGTATTTTGCTGGTACTGGATTGCTTTTGTACAATTGTTAATGATTATCTTCTGCACTTAGAGGCTGGATGACATACAGCTCTTTCCCACAAGTTATGAGGTTATCACAAATTCTAATTTCTATGTAGTAAATTTCGACTCTCTGAAGATTACTGTGTACTTTCTAGAAGTCCTAACAAGAGTTCCTAGTGTTGTTAATGACATTACAGTTGTGCATTGATTTTATTACCTTGCACTGATTTGATAGTTTTCTTCGTGTCTTATTGATCTCACTCAACTAAGTTAATATATACAGCAGGCAAATAGCAGAGATTCTATTTCTCCAAATTGACTCAATTTGTCATAAAGGAAAACAAATAAAGTGAAGTCAGTCACTTCAACAGCTTAATCAGAATCACCTCACTGCTTTTAAGTTATTTGACTTTTCTGGTCATCCCACCTTGCAAGGATCTTACATTTCCCTTTGTGATATGCTCTACTGCCATTAATTGTTAAGGAGACTGTATCACTGGTAAAAGCAAATACTGTCGTTCTTAATGTCTACATAGGCAGTTTCACTGCCACTGTCAAGTGGAATACCATTCAAATCAAGAGGTAGTGTGTGAGATGATGTGTTCATCAGCCCTGATGAAAAAGTGCTCATTTATATTTTTATGCATGTTGCCTCTCATTTTCTACACAGTATTTTAAAGCACTGATCAAATATATTCTCTCTTTTGAGAACTTGCAAGCAAGCAAAGATAAAGATTTAAGACTGTTTTGTTGTCCCAGGCAATGCTGTGAACACAAACACTGTACTGAAGCATATGCTGAATAGAAATTAGCCTTCAGTAAAGCAGCACGTCAGAAAATCAGATTAAGTTTGTCAGGAAGTTTTAAAACTAACAAAAGAAGGAAGAGCCCTGAATATTTTTCTACAGTGTTGAAAACAAACTGCAAATCCTAATCTCTTCAAAGAGCTCTAGTCATAATTCTCAATTTCTACCATTGCAATCTGTCTGTAACCAGAGATTATATGTTACATAAATATGTGCAACTGCTAAAATATGTAAAAAGCAGATGAAGAGGTGGGTTTCTGCTGGAGCAGAAGCTTTTGCTTACCAAAAAAATAGCTTTAATATTCTGCTATTAACAGAAAAAAAACAAATGCAATACATAAGCAAAAGTGAAGTGTGTTTCTACATAATCTGCCTCTTAACATTCAACTGAACATGAAATCTCTTGACTAAAAAATGAGTAGAGATCGCAGGAAAACTTTCAGCTCACTACTGCTTATTTGTTCTATGGGACAGAATGCTTTCTTCATTTAGACTGAGCTCCTTTATACTTATGCAGAAACAAAACTTTTTTTCTCTCCCTCTAATCCATAGCAGAAGGAGCCCTTAATATCTTCCCAATCTTGCAGCTTCAGTAAGTCAAGCCCTTAGAACAGCTGTTCTACCTGCACAGTGATACATGAGAGCCTGTCTGGCTCTGTGCTGTGCAGAAACTGTAGTTTATTTTTCACTGAATTCTGTTGCTTCCACTTTGAAACTACTTTTATCTTAAACTACAAGTCCTAAAGCGATGATGTTACAAACCACTTATTTTCAAACAAGCTGTCCTTTGTCTTAATCCTTAACATTTGTTGTGTATGCAAGAAATGGGAACATTGTAATTCTGAAGGAGTAACGATGTTGTAGTAATTAAAATTAGTGAATCAATATCTTGAAGTGTCATCATTCTTCATTTTTGTTTTTAACCAGTCAGGCTTCAGGCAGCAAGTACCACACAGCCCTTCGTTCCCTCCCCCTCAGTAGGATGGGAGAGAGAACTGGAAAAAAGCTAAACCTTGTGGGCTGAGGTAAAGACAATTTAATAGGATAGAAAAGGAAGAGAATACTAATAATAGTAATAATAGAAGAACGTACAAAACAAGTGGTGCACAATGCAGTTGCTCAACAACTGCTGACCAATTCCCTGCCATACCCTGAGCAGCAGAAGCCCCCCGGTTCCTTCTTCATTACTGATGCAGATTTGTTCTTACTAGGTATTTTCTTGAAACTGTTGGTCAACATCTACTTCTTTAAGACCAATTGGCCGTTTTATCTAACTCACTATTAGTCATTTCTCTTTTAGTCAAAAATGGGAGCCATATTCATGGTTTTGGCAGAGTAAGAATGATACAACATCTAACCAAAACAGCCCCTTCTGTGAAGCCAGTCATTAATTCCTCCCTGGTAGCTTGTCATCACCAGATGTCTGCTCAGTTTACATCCTGGGCATTTCCCGTGGCTGGACCCACAAAGCTTCTACAAATGATGCTGTCTTTTCAATAAGAGCACCCCACCCTTTTATGAACTTTCCTCTTCACTACCTCAGCTGTTGCAGCTGCTGACCGCAGAACTGCAACCTCTCTTTAAGTTACACCTTGTACCTCTGTCTTGATTGAAGGAATCTACAAACAGCATAAGCAAATAGTGTCACTTCTACTTTAGGGATAGGGTTTCATCACTTAAGATTTCAGCAAGTGGGTTTTGTACAAAATGTAATGAGAAGTATTCTACATCCGATACAGAAAAAAAAGCCCAAAACATTTCCAGGCTTATATCAACAAGTAGAGTACAAAATGTTTTTGTTTTTCATAAGAAATGCTGGCAGTGAAGTCTAACCTTGCCAACAACAAAGCATATCTGAAGGAGGACTCACACTTATATCTAAGCATGAGGAGAAGCGTGGGCACATTTCCCTCCAGAAATCTGCACTCGCTGAACATGATCATCAGCGGTAGATGCAATTAGCTATGTCCAATTTACATTTTGAGCACAAGGGACAAGCTTTCACAGCATGCTTAATGCTGTGAACACAACAAACTGGTTTTTGTGAGCACAATGCAGTTTCTCAGTTCAATGGGAAACTTTACAAAATATACGGGCAAGGTATAATTACAGCATGCCACGTATAACATTTCAAGAGGATAATTGAAACAACACTCCTATCTTGAAAAATAAACTGGTTTATTGATGTGGGATCATAGGCATGTGTTTTACTATACAAACAATAACTAAAATATAAATGCCAATTTTCAAATCAGCACAGCTGGATAATGTATATAAATGTTAGGAACAACAACCAAAAAGTAAAACCAACGCTGAACAACAACAGCAACAACAAAAAACACAAAATAAGCCCTAAATGGCAATCATTTGGATAACTGATAAGGAAAAATGACAGATTTGGAGAACTGTTAATATTTTTCAATCTCACAAAGGCTCTTTCTTTTATCTGTTCTTGTTTTCATTCTGTGTGGCCATTGAGGCTAGCAGGAAACCAGCCTGTTAGTCAGAGAACTTTGCAGCACAGCAGGGAGTCTGGTTTGTCATCACATGCAGTAGCAGCTGCCTTCATCAAGAATGAAGTTAATCAGTACAGAGTAAATAAAGGATCTGATTCTTTAGATGGCTAACAATGAACTTTCAATGAGCAAAGAGCAGTCCTAGCTTACTGACACTTGGAAACTTCTCTTTCAAATCTGCTGATTTTGTGGTTTGAAACTAAAGAACAATGACATTCCCTAGTGCATGATTGCTTTTGCTTTACCCAAGTATTTCCAGTAAGTGAAGATACTCAGTTTACATAAATGCTGTGTAACTGTTGCATACTGTTGCGTACAGCAGCTGCATAAGCGTTGTAAGGTCTGCGTCCAGACTTGGGTTCTCATCATCTTTCTTCATCTTCTTTCATTCTGTTCTTAATTATTTCAAGCAGATATCTTAGCCAGGTCAGATCTGAGAAATCCAGGACATAAAAATAATAAGAAGTGCAAGACACTAAAAGATTAAGACCTTGAAAGCATGTTTCTTCATATGGAAAACTGAGAGGTGCTGTGCTTAGTTAGTATGTTGAACATGTGGTCAATAACGGTTTTCCCACTTTGGAATATGTCTCTAGCCTGAAAATACAGATAGCAGGAGTTAAAACTGCCCTCGTGACATAAATGGAGGACAGCCACAAAGGATTAGTTTTCTCACACTTCATTCCTTCCTCAAAAGATCTCGACTGGATGAATTTAGTGCTGTAGAGCTATGTACTATAGAAGCACGTAATATTCATAAAGAGCTGTTGTGTCGGCGTTCAGTTTTGAGAAAAAGCACAGCTCAGAAAGCTAACTGGTTTGTAATTCCAAGGATCATATTAAAGAAATGAAGAAAGGCTTATACTGACGCTCTGGTTTAAAGGAACACCTATTGATTGTTCGCATTATTCAACGACCTTTATAACTGTAGCACTCAGCTGTGTTGCAAACATAGGCTACTGGAAAAGGACACACTGAGTGAGCTGTATCACGGCTATAGGAATTGCACATATTTCAGACATGATGGTTCTTCAGAATGCTGTCTGCCTGAGTGCACAAAGAGGCTTTTCCAAAGGTAACATAAATGTGGTATCACAGATAAGTGATTAATATCCTCAGTGACTGCTAATAACAGAGTGAATAATAACTGTGAAAGATGGAAAAAGAAATGGCTTTGTAAATACTTTATTACTTTCCTAACGTTTGTGGTAATATTTCCTTACCTCTTTTTAAAAACAACAAGAACGTTTTTCTGTTTGTTTCAGGTTTTATTTTAGTTCTTTCAGCAAGGCTTGTAAAAGAAATTAAAATGTACATCATGCCTTTGTAAGTAATACAACTTTAAGCAAAATCCTTTTAATACAAAATGAGCTCGATCTTCGTCACAAAAAAAGAAAGGTGAGGAAGATCTCATACATTACAGAAGGGTCATTTAGTCTTCAAAATCTGCTGGGCAACTCTGTGAGGAACCACTGCAACTAAAACATATATAATTAAACATAGAAGTAAAGGCTGGACAGCATGTATGTTAACTTCAAAAGTTGTTAAACAACGGTTGTGGATATTAATAGAAAAACCATTCATATCATGGTGCTATAAGGGGCATATATATCGAAGTGGAGAACTTGAAAGATGAAGGGAAAATTACTTTTGTTTTGGCACATGGCATGACATGGCATGTCAAAAGAATTTAGATAATGTTTTCAAATCATACAAAGTCTATTATTCATGAAGTTCTGTGCTTTGCTAGGAAGGAAGAAACAAAAGGCAGCAAAGTGGCAGGATGCTGAGCACTGAAGGCACATAGGTAAGCACTGATACAATCTTTGTTCTTTTGCAGGTTACCTCTGGTCTTCACACACAGGCTTTGTGTGAGGAGAATGGCTCATATGGACTTAGATAAAATCTCAGATTTCTTATATAAAGTGCTTTCATCTTGACAAGCCTTAAATTATATTTTCCTCTTGAAGATTCCAGATGTTAAGTCAGCTTCTAGCTCTGTTTTACCTAGGAAAGTGCTCTGAATTTCTCATATAAGCATCTCACTGGAAGTGACAAGACTAATGATAGGGTTGTTAAAATTTATTTTAAATTAGCAGGTGAGCTAATGTTGAAGGACTGCTTATTGGTTTGGATTCACTTTCCTAAAATTCACTTTTATAAAATCTCCATTTTGTTGGTGACCTTTTTTTTTTACAAATAACACTGATTTAAAACAATCTGTGGGTTTTTTCTTTTTTTTTTAATGTGTTCTACTAGTCCAGTGTAGAACTTGTCCTTTAAATCCACAAGTCACTTGAGAAAAATTTACCTTGAGTACAATATAATAAAAGATCAACAAAGGTATAACTCAGCCTTTGACAATTCTCAGTGCTTGTGAAAAAGGTTTTGAGGTGAAAATAGCTGTGCCAGCAGCCACTTAGATGCATTTCCAATCTTATTTGATCAGAGCACAGAAAACTAAGAAAATTGAAGACTTCCCAAACCCTGGATAATTTAGATGTTTCAGGCTTTTATTTTTTAATGTTCCAATTTTAGTAGATAAGGGATATTCCAATACTTTTAAATTTCTTCTTCTTTTGATTCCTCTGGTGGTTTATTTTTGTGTGGCAGGAGGGTGTTTGGGAGTGAATGTAGGCTTTGTCAACTTTATATTCACATACCTTTGTGAGCACATATACACTCAACAAAGGAAATATCCTAGGGAAAAAAAAAATGTAGTAACGGATTTTAACCAGTAGTAAAACACTGTCTTGTAGTCTATTTTATTACATGTTCTGACCTCTGAGGAACTGATGATATTACTGTAATTTTTGGTAAATGGGAACCAGCTCTCGTTTCTCAAGATTGTTCTGAGTGGTTGCAAAGACAGTTGTATCCGTATAGTCTGCTCCCAATCCAAATTCCTTACTTGTACCAGATATGGCAATGTCAAACTGGGAGCAGTAGTCCTCTGCTTTCCATCCTCCAGACTGTCTCTGTGATCTGTATCACAGTATCACTGCAGAGAGGGAAGATTATGCTTCTGGAGTAGAAGTATAACAGTACAGATACAGGGTGTGAGTACAGACTTTGTAGAAGCTGAGTTCTGCAGGAGGAACCTGTACACCTGGTGTCAGGATTAAGATTCAGACTTGAAGAAACCTGGGTTTTGTGCCATTCCTAACCAGTATAAATCACAGATATGAGTCAACTGGTAAAGATCTCTTTGGCATCTATAATGAAACAGCATTCTCAACTTCTTTTCAGGATGTTTAGGAATTATCACTTGAAGAATAATAAATTGAGTAATTGAACTCCATCCCAACAGTCATTTATTGAGTGACTGCTTTGAGGTATCTATTTGCTTTCGATTTGTCTGTAGAGATTTCTGTTAGTTTTATTGATATTAATAATAATTTATTGTTAACAACAGTTCTGGTAATATGTTATCTTGTTTATGGTTGTGTATTTCAATAAGGCACATCAAATTGTCTAATATTTCTTTCAATAAGAAACCTGTGGAGCTTTGCTTAGATGTTCTGTGATTAACAGAGCACCGTGACCAGTCTTCTCTGTTAGTATAGGGTTCTTACATCTGGCATTAATCTGGGAATGTTTTCTGCATACAGAAAGGATGTATTAGCAGCAGAGCCCTATGCAAAGAGTGAGATTCCAGAACAAAAATTTGCAGCACATGTCACAGTCACAGTCTCAGTTCAGTCTTGCCATGTTATTCTCTCCCATTTTCCTTTGGAGATTAGAGAGGAATTCAAACTGGGATATCAAAGGAAGCTGCCCCTATTGCTGGTTGGAGGTGAGGGGAATCTCAAGGTATATTGTTTTACAGTGTTACATTCACAGTAATTCACAGTAATTAGCCATAGCTGGCACTGTGCTCTTATCAGTACTCTTTGCTGCTGTGTGTTCCCCAGCAATTGTGCAGGAGTAAGCTAAGCCAACTGAAAACTAGCCTTATTAAAAATCCAGTCTGTATAATCAGAAATGGTATCGCTGAATTCAAGAGGAAGGCCAAAATGTGTAAGGATTAGAGTCAATCTTTTATAAACTTCCTGACTGGATCCACTAGGAAGTTATTCACCTTCTATAACGTAATGATTAAGTAGAGAAATTCACAGGCCTTCAAAGTAAATTGAGCTTTTGCTTTCATACCTTTTGCACAAAAAGATTAGACTACAAAGCGAAACTGCATAGCTTTCATAGGAAGCTTCTAAGCAGAGTGAAATTAACATGGGAAGCAAGTAGAGAATTACAGAGAAAAATGGTGCTACTCAGGAAACAGATAGTACTTTTAAGATCACTTAGTTGACAAGACAGCAAGCATAGACTGATTGCCAACAGAATGACAACAAAAAATTCAGATAAATTCTTGTTTTGCAATCATCAGGCCACATGGGAAGATTTAAATGAAATTTAGCATTCTTCCCTAAATAAGTGGTGCAAAAATCTGTCCGTGTTATTTTGGTAGAGTTGAATATTGCCCAGTCTGACACTGAGAAAAATGGCTAAAAGCTGTAGGCAGATTTTGAGCCTGGACTGGCATTCTGCTTAGGCTACAAGTAGACAAGTCTTAGCTGGTATAAGATGCAGAAGGATTCTCTGTTCTTCTCTAAATCTGTAGAATGCACAGATAGCTAATCCATACTTTTAAGAGAGGGGCTTGCAGCTTGATAAGGTAACACCATAACATGATACATGGAGTATGAAGGCAATGGGAATGAGAGAAACCAACTTCAGTAAAAGAATACTCTGTTCTGAATTTATAATGTTCAAATGTGTGCATCCTAATCCTTGGGCACTGAGAAGGAATCATAACCAAATTCTTGTGCTGAAAAAAAAAAAAGTCCCTGTGTTTTTTCCCACTGCCTACTTTCTCACTTCTACCCTTCACTGTGATCTGTGTTTACAAGGAGTAGAATCTAGCCCCAAGTTCTCTAATTTTTTTTATAGGATGTTTAATAAACAGGTTTAATAAACTCATTTCGGTCTCTTTCCCTTAAAATATAATTTCAATTTTAATATATTTAGCATACGATAGAAGTCCTGTCTGTGTGTGGGTATTACAAAAAGTGCAGATGTTGCACTCAAATGCTGTGCATGAGAATACCTGAAGAATGTCAAGAGTAAGTTCAAATACTTGTACTCGTTCTTTGGAAAACATTTCATTGGAAAAGATATCACTAGAGGCTGAGTGGTAATTTTAACCTGAGATTTCCATGTTAGATTTGAGTTTGATTAATTTTTTTATATTTGTTCTTAGAATACATGGAAGCCTTCTGAAGTGTACATTACAGCCCACTTTAGAAAATCTCCTTTCTCTGAAGTATCCAATGTGGTCATCTGTGGCTTAGAAATCTCAAAGAACTTCTTGCAGGAAAGGAGATTTTCATAATCTTAAGCAGCAGGAAGTATGTTGCATACAGTATCACTGTAAAAAATTGAACATAACAACCCAAATGCAGCAGGAGTTTTAACTCTGGAAGTCAATACACTGTTCCTGTAATCGAACATGAATGCTATTAAATAATAGAGTATTGTTATCATGGTGAAATATTTCACTTCCAAACAAATATAAATAAATTTTATGTCCATTATGGTGGGTGGTGCATTTTTGCAGCACACCATAAATTGTATCTGTTTTGTATTTAATATTCAATAAGATACAGCGTGGGTCTGCAAGAGATGATTTGTAAGAACTAACTTAGATCACGTTCTTTCCTCTTTGCATGACAAAGACATCCCACTTTCCAGAGACATGGAGGAAAATGCAGTGAAGAAATAATGGCTGAGAAATGGAGCACAGTGATTGATCAGAGGTCTTAAACATTGTGCTTTAACAAAGAGGCTGGGATAGAGACCGAGTAGCACCCAGTAATTGCAGGCATACCTGTTTCCACTCTCTCCTCTTACAGCATCAGAGCACCTCTGGCATCTGGTGGGCTTGAACTTCAGCTGGCTTTACCTTGCATAGATTATTGCTCACTCTGTGAAGGTGTGCCAGCATAAAACCAGTGGGGAAAAAAAGGCTGTGAAGGAACCATTTTCTGATAGCTTCCGATGATAGCAGCTGTAATATATGACTTTTAGCTGATACATTCACATATTCAATGATAGTACTGACTGTGCCACATAAAAGTCTGGTAGAAAGAAGTAGGCTCTGAGCCATTGTTGTATTTACCTCAGTATTACACCTGGTGGGTCACAGTAATGCTTTACTGCAGTAGAGACACTGCTGAAGTTACGGCTGCACAACAGTGGAGAAATAGTGATAAGCTGGCCCATTTCTCATACGTGTTTATTTTTTAATGCTGACAGCCACAATTGTTGATTTACTTAAATATCACGGGCATTTTTCAACATTCTTTTCATAAATATTTAGGAATCTTCATTTTATATTTAATTGGGCCTTAATAATATCTCTATTACTTTAGTCATCCTTGGTAGATAAGGGATTTTACATACATAAGAAAGAAGACAAGCAAATTGGAAAGTGTCCTGCTGGCACACCAACATTTGGGAAAAGATGCAGACAGTGCAATCATAGATGTTTATATTTATTTCCATGCTACAAACTGGCTAATATATTTTATTCTATGCAAACACTGGCAAGAGATCAAAATAAATAAAAAAAACCAGATGAACAGCTCCAGCTCACTGTTATGGCCATCTCTCATACAACTGCCTGTTGAACAATTGAACAATTGCTGATATTCCTGACTTTAAAGTATCAATTATTTTACTGTGAAGAATCTCACGAGCTGGGCGTAAGCAACAGTGGAAAACTGTGCACGGTGATAATATAAACAA